CAAAGTTTGTAACGAGAAAGAATAAACTAGTTTTAATTAAGAAAGGACTTGTATCGCTGAAGGGAAATTATCAAACAAGCAGATACGTAACACTATTTTGAAACTTTTCATTTTACCTTACGTTGCCAATTTCACTACAGCCAGTGTTAGATACAGAAAACAAGAGATAAACTAGAAATTTTTATTGAAAAACTGTTGAAATTCAATTAGGACATTTTAGAGATTATGCAGAAGAAATATGAAGACTGTAAGACTAAAAAGTATTTTATTCTTAAAATCACTCAGACTAGTCAGAATCTGATTCGACTGACTTAGCAAATTCACAGACAAATCAACAGCAAATATACTTTATTAAAACATACTTGTGAGGCTTATTAAAGGTTTACCAGCTTTCAAGAAAATACATGTAGTAACTTTGGAATCACAGTAAACATTAATTATTCTATATGGTTTCAGTTCAATGGACTGACTCAACGTAGATAGGGTTAAATGAAAAAGTCAAACTGAAGATATATCAAATCAAGTTTCTAATAGAAATACTTAAAATTTGGTATCCTGCTTTAGAATCAAGAAAATTATGGTAAGGAGGGTTATATTACAAACGAAAATGAAAGTTTAAAATAATAAGCACAAAAATGTCATTAATTCTTAAGAAAAAACATGCTAAACAAAGCAGTGCTGAGGTGGTAAGAATGAGCATTTGTTGTGATGCTATTGCTCATGGAGGATGTGTCACCCTCCTATAGGTGGATGGCTATGGTCTAATGATGATTACTTATAGGTTGGTGCAGTACACATTAATACATACAGGGGGAGGGAGCTTCATTCACGACTTGTGAAATGCAAAAAATTCTTCATGGCAGTGGTGCAAGGTAATAGCCCTTTTGTAGAGAGGTGAATATACAATTTTGAACTCTTAGATAGCTCTGTGGTAAAGCACTGACCTTGTTATCCAGAGGTCCCGAGTTCAAGTCAAGTTCCCAGAGTGAGTCTCTTTTCATGTGTTGACTTTTTTACATAAATAGCTTAATTTGAAAAGTGTCCTTTCATTGATTCTTAACATGATTTATAGAAAAACAAATACCTGATTCTTTTGGTCTGTTTAATAATGAAGCATTTCTCAATATATGTATTACATTCAAGGAAGTAATGTGTTTTGGTTTACTTCTAATGAAGCTTAAGTTATGTTAACTTTAATTTTCTGCAATTTATCTCTACTATTACAGTAAGTAATAGTTTGTTAGTTCACAAACATTGCATGAATAGACAATTTCAGTAAACAGAAGACAATTATAATTACAAATCTAAAGAACTTACTATTGTATCATACATAGCAAAACTAAGATTGTTGCCAACTAACCTTTTGTAAATTCCAGAAACAGAGTATAAAGGTAATGGACATCCAGCTTTATTCAGATGAAAGAGATAATCTAGATACAAAGCAAGAAACTTTAGATATTATAACCACAATACTATTCTTTGCTTAGCTGAAAATATTATTTTTCAAGTTATAATTTTCTTAAATGAAGATGTGTCTCCGACAGGTACTTTCCTCAGCTCACAAGATTAGCTTTTCTTGCTTTGTGCTGCCCTCTGTATGCAAAATTTGTCAGAAACACATGCCATAAGCCTTCATCATTGCTCTGTTGGAATCCAAAGTTTCAACACATCTCTCATGCAAATCATCATGTGTCACCTCTACACCAATAGGAGAGCACTACTATCATGTGATGCATGTGACTCCCTCTACGTGCCACTACCGAACTATCACATCAAAGGTTGGCAGAAGATGCGAGTACTGGAAGATTGTGGGGAGGATGGGTGGGAAGTGTGAGTGGAGGAAAGTACCTATAGAAAATACAATTTCATTGAGGAAAATTATAAATTTAGATAAGGTACTCTCCCTCCACTCATAAGATTAGCTTGAACCCCACAGTGAAATGGAGGAGGGATCAGTGCAAGGGAAGCACAGGCGTATCCCCCGGAGCATCCAGAGTACACCCCTGTAATGAGAGGAATAGATCAGATGATTTGAGAAGGGGCACCACACCACATCTTCACCAGGAACATCGACATGATCAGAAGGGCCAGACATGGAGAAGGGACTGGTGTGAAAGAAGCAAAGGCGTATCCCCTGAAAACATCCGGAGTACACCTTTTAATTGAGATGAACAGATCAGATGAGCCAGGTATCTCTTTGCCAGGAACATCGACATGATCAAGAGGACCAGACATGGCGGAACATGAAAAGAGTACATCCACATGGGAGAGGATAGTTTAGCAATGTGATCTTAATCAGAATCACTCACTCCCACAATGGAAAGTGGGCAAATGAGGTGTCCCATGGTGTAGAGTGTCTAGGGTGCAATGGAATTAGTTACTTATCCGGAGTATCTTGTAACTCCCTCTACACTGGCAGAACACCACCTCCCTACTCTGTACTGAATGGTTATAACCATCTTTGTGGAACCCATTTAGCAGGTTGCCTCCATTGTCAACCACCCCAGCGGATTCACGTACTCTGGAGGAATGGGGAAAAAAATGCAGTGGAGAATCCAGAGATAGTGCAATTGGTGATCACAAAACCCTATTTTTAAAAGCAGACCACACAGATTTATTCAATCTAGGCATGGTAGAGATGGGCAGCAATCCCCTTCTGCTTTACCCATGCTGTCCACAGGTGGTATGGTCCAGGATGGGCATATTATGATGCAATTATCACAAGGAATTTACGCTGTAGAGACCTTGAGAAACACCCCATCTTAAAGGTGAGTGTACATATCCATGAAAATATATAAGAATCAACATGGTTTACAGTGCAGATTTGATAGCAAGATGTCTGTGAAAGGTTATAGCCATCTAAGTGGAACCCAGAGTACAGACAGAATACCTGTTCAGGCACCACTCACAACAGAGTGAGATCCAAAGTGAAGCTGAATCTGGGCGCCCTGAAAAAAAAAGAAAGCATTAGTAAGGACTTATCTTGTGTCGCAGCTGCACTAAAGACTGTAGAATAGCCACAGGCAGCAGGCAATACCCCAAGGAAGCAGAAACAGCAATGTGATGTAATGTCCCAGTCTGGGAGTGATGAGCACCTTCGTGGCTGACAGAGCCAGAAGGAACGGATCCATCTGGCAAAGACAGGGAAAGCAACGACCCTGTGGAAACAGGAAAAATGGAAGGTATGGGGTTATGCCACCCAAAACTCTGAAACTGAGGAGACTGAAGAACTCTTCTCAAAGAGCCACATGAGAAAATCAGAGATACAGTCAACCATTCAGGGGAGAAGCCCGTAAATCCTGAGTCAATGCCCAAGAGTGATAAACTCTCCACTTCAGTTGATAGATGGCTAACGAAGAAGAGTGAAAGGGACAGGCTAAATGTGAAGCTACTCTGTGAGAGAAACCAGAACTCCTCACAAAGGACTTGACAAAAACCAGGTGTTAAGATGGAGGATGGATGGCATGGGATGGAGTGCTGGTGACTGTGGTGGACAGAGCAGGTCAGGATGGAAAAGAAGAGGAAGGACCACCTGCAGTTGGAACAACTGAGGGAACCAAGGTTGATTGGACCAGTAAGGAGCAATCAGAAGGGTCATGCACAGAGTTGCATGGATGAGGGAGACGACCTGATGAAGTAAACGAATAGGAGGGTAAATATAAAGGAACAGATAAGACCAGTCCTGGCAGAAGGCATCAACAGCCAAGGCTCAAGGATAGGAAACCGGGGATCAAGACCAAGGTAATTTTTAATTGAGGGCAGTAGCAAAGGCATCGATATGATACGTACCCAGATGCAGACAGAGCCACCGAAAAATGGCAGGATGCAGGGACCACTCTGTGGGATAAACACAATCCAGTCGGGAAAGATGATTGGCTATGAGATTGAAAACATCCGGTACATGACACGCCATCAAATGAACTTGATGTGTGTGTGGGCCCAACAAAGAAGATCCACAGTGCAGAAACACAGGGATCTGGACCTGGTGCCATCTTGGTGACTGATATAAGCCACCCTGGTAGAATTTTCAGAATGGATCATAACCAGCTGGTGGCTGTCAAGAGAAAAAAAAATTATCCAAAGCCCAATAAATAGCCAGGAGTTTGAGAACATTTATGTGAAGAGAGCTCTTCTCCACAGACCAATGACCCAAAACCTCCTGGTGATCCGCCCAGACACCCCAGCCTTGATGAGATGCATCACTGAACAGATGCATTTGCAGAGGAGGAAGCAGGATCCACACTAATGTGTAGGCCATATTCATTGACAAGGGGTGAGGAAAAGGATGAGGATGAGCAAGAAGAAGCCCGTCGTCCAAATAAACATGGAAGTGCAACCCCCATGGCATGATTAGCCCGAGCAAAGGTGTGGACCACACGACAAAACACGTATGATGCTGAGGCTAGGCCAAAAGGTAAGGTGCAAAATTGGTACACATCCCCTAATGGACAAATGACAGATATGGATGCAAATGCTACACCACAGGAATGTGTAGGTAAGCATTGGAAACGTTTACCTTGGTCATCCAAACTGGAGAAAATGCACACTGAAGAGAAAGAAATGTCTCCATGGTAAAGCAAGGAGTGTGAACATACTGATTGAGATACGTTAAATCGATGACAAGATGCCAGTCCCCAGTCTTCTTTGGAACCACAAATAGGTGGGAGTAAAATCCCCCTGAATCTGGTAGAGCTGGTTCAATAGCCTGTTGTGTGACAAGGTCCTAAACTGCCCCTGATGAAGGTGACATGTTGAGGGATCCTGAAGAAAAGGGAAAGTAACCGGAACACTGGATAATGGAGGAAGGGAGAGAAAGAGGATAATGTATCCCTCTGAGAGCACTCTGTGAACCCAAACATAAGTGAGAAAAGGTCCCCACCAATGAAACAAATTCAAGAGACGTGCACCCACTGGGCCTGAACCGACCATGTAGTCACTAGTACTGCTGTTGGCGGATCATGCATCGGCGAGTAAATCATCAAACTATGGCACCTTGGCCGGGTAGGACAGGGGAAGGTCGGAGGACAGGAACCAGTGCCACACTCAGCCCTGACTGTGACAAATGAGCTACCAAGTTAGTAAGGGTAGAATGTTGATGGGCCGAGGCCACTCACAACTCCAAAGACACAAGAACTGAGACAAACACATAACGTAGCAAATACGGCGTCATGCGAAGGTCCCTCAGATAAGGAGCCTCGAGACTGTAAGAAAGAACATCTGAATGCGACAGCTGCCAAACGAGAAGTGATAGTTTGGTAGTGGTTTGTAGAGGGAGTCACATGCATCACATGATAGCAGTACTCTCCTATTGGTGGAAAGGTGACACATGATGATTTGCATAAGAGATGTGTTAGAACTTTGGATTCCAACAGAGCGATGATGAAGGCTTATGGCACGTGTTTCTGAAAAAGTTTGCATACAGAGGGCGGCACAAAACGAGAAAAGCTAATCTTGTGAATGGAGGGTGAGTACCTTATTGGAACCTAGTATTAATGTGACAACAAGAGATATTCATAAACTTAAAGCTTTAAACAGTGGATCCCAAAGTTGTTTGACATACAATCATAAGGACTGGATTACTGATTACACTTTAATTTTGTATTAAAATGTAAATAATTTTTCATGAACCAATTTCAAAATGCAGTGAAAACATAAAAACAAACAAATTTTAATCATTATCAAAAAGTTACCTATATCTTTACTAAGATAATGTTTTTCAAATACTGTAACTTTATTAAAACTCTTCTACAAAACAACTAATGTTCATTATGTTGGAATTAAAATGTCTTTATAAGCTGCTGTTGTGTTAGTGTAAATAAGTAATAATAATAATAATACATAAAATCTTCATACGTACAGTAAATATCTCTGAAGGGTTTTGAAACTCAAATATGCATACTTATTATCTCTGAGGAAGTTGAATGCTAAAACTCATTAAAAACCTTCAGTTGAAGATTAAATATTTCCAGAGTTTGAAAATTAAAAGATAAAAAGATTTTACTAAAAAACTACATTCTCTAAAAAAAATTTTTGAAAACTATAAGTAATACAAAACTGTTATTTGTAAAATTCATATCTCTGAATAGCTTTTGGTAATTACAACTGATAAAAAACTTTTACATGTAGACTTAACACAGAAAACTACACCTTTATCAATTTTATATTTTTGGTTTATGGAAATTAAACACTAGCCATACACACAAGAGTATTTTAATTCAAAATGTATTTCCTTTAAAATGCTGTGTATTTAACAAAAAACATTTTTTGTGTTATCAGTCTACAATCAACTTTCTTCATTATTCATTTAACAAGTACTTATACTGATTAATTCTAATAAAGATATATTTTTAGAACAATGATAAACACTAAAGTTACTGGAGATAAATGAAAAGACCAATCTGTTAGTGACACTACTAATTACAAACTGATGTTGAATATAATTAATAACTTACCTATGATATACAGATCTGACAGTGGGAGTCTAGGAATCACAACGGAAAACTTATATCGATCCTCTCCTCCTAACAACTCACTGAAGCAATCGTTTAAACTAGTTTTCAACTTCACTAACCGACCATCTAAGTTTAAAATAAATTTGTGTAAGTTTAATTACATATGTTAAAGTAATTTTTCAGTAAATTTTTTCACTTAAAATCTAACTTCATTGGTTAATATTTGAACAAAAAATAGTAGTACATCACATTCAATAATTCTAATCCAGAGTTAACCATTCAACAAGTCTATTCCAGAGTTAAGCCATTCAACAAGTTTAATCCAGAGTTAAACCATTCAACAAGGCTAATCCAGAGTTAAACCATTCAACAAGGCTAATCCAGAGTTAAACCATTCAACAAGGCTAATCCAGAGTTAAACCATTCCAACAAGGCTAATCCAGAGTTAAATCATTCAACAAGGCTAATCCAGAGTTAAACCAATGTGAGTGATACAAACAGTTTAATGCACCTTATAAACACTAATTTCACATTTAAATACTAATGAAATTGTACCTTTATGTAAACTCTTAGCAGACAAATTCTTTGGAAAAAATGGTCCACGGTACTGATGGCATTCTAGTGTAAGAGCAGCATCCAACAATTTCAGCCTACTATGAGCCCAACGAAGTTCAGCATCAGCTAAACAAGCTACATTATAAAATATAGCCTATTACACTTGACATTTGTTAAAAATATTATCATACCAAAAAATACACTGCTACCTTGAATACGACTAATGCACAGTTTTGAATCAGCAAAATATTTGTAAGTTAATTATGTATTTTTAGTTGATTAATTTTACTTGGTGCAATGGAAATTTGTATAATTTCACATCAAATTTTATTGTACATAACTGTATTTTTTTATTACCACTTTTAATTTAATTAGATCATTCAATACAGTAACTTGAGCTACATGTTCACAGAGTGATTTACAGCTTGTACCATGGGATTATTAATTAGGAATGGTTCAGAAATAAACAGAACAATAAAATTAAGTGGAAACTGATGTAGGCTATGAAGAGTCTTGAGCTATTTAAAATAAACAGCTGTAGTTTTCTGTTACAATCTGCAATCACGGTAGAAAAAAAAAAGAATAATTTATAATTATTTTGTACTGTTTTGTAGTGGTTACAAGGTCGATCCAAGCGACTGTGTTCATATAAATCTGGATAAAGAAAATTACAGATTAACATATAAAGTTTTGCTGAAAAAAGTTTGATATTTATTTAGGAGGTTTTAGAAGTTATGCAAATGAAATCTGAAACTTTAAGATGAGTAAAAGTATTTTTAATCTTAACATGAAAATCGCCTTGCACTCAGGCTAAGTCAACACTACGACTCCATATATATTCACACACAAGTCTTTAGTAAACATTCTTAATTAAAAAATTTAATATTTCGTGTACAAAACTTCCAATGTTTAGTAAAAACTTGCCAAATTTCATGAAAATATATGTACAATGTTGAAAGTTACAGTATGGATACTTTTATGCTTATCTGATTGGTGCAAGATCAGACAAAATCACCTAGCCTGTATGGAAAGAGTTAACAGCCACTAATGATCTTAATTCCATCTTTATTAATCCTTGGAAAAAATTTTCTAGAATGTTCTAATGATAAGAAATTGCATGTATAAGAAGTTGGTTAAGTTCCATGTAACCCGTCCCCTCATTTCAAGTGTAATTGTATAGATACAAAAGGTCATATCTCAACAACTACAAGTGATAGAATGTTGAATAAGCTGTCCATTTCTAGGTTTTTTGGCACAACAAATTTACTGGGGACATCGTTTTATTGATTGGAGACATGTTGTATACTGTTATGGCAAGTCTGACAAAATATGCAGTAAAATATGAACAGATATAAACAGTAACTAACCAGCAAAAGCTATATAAAGAACAGGAATTATCAATGCTTGACCATCTTGTACATTTAAAATAATCAATATCGTGTTTGTTCCAACAAGTTGAACAACTTGTATTAAGTAGAGTGCCTGGTACGTATGTCAACTTCAACTGAAACTTTTGAAAGTACAGATCTAGTTAAGGTTAAGCATTTAGTAAGAAACCCCATATCCTAACTTAATGTTTAATGTATTTTCACTACACAAACATCACGAATAAGTGTGTATTCCATAAGGTCCGTGCTTGCTTGAATCCAAACCAGGTAATCTGAATTTGCGCACAACAACGAATCACAAATATTATGGAAGCAAGCAAGCTTAGAGATGATAACCTACATCTGTATATGGACAGAAACTTTTGTGTTAATCTTCATTACACTATGCACTGTTACAAAAACAGTGTTTCATAATATACTTTGAAATCACACCTTAGGAGACTAGGAAAAATTGATTTTTCTCACCAAATCCTCAAGAAAAATGGCACTATCATTCTGATATTTGAAGTTTTGACTTCAAAGCACATTGCTTGTTTTGTGGAGATTTGTGTCAAATCAATACATCAGATCGTCTTTAGGCATAAGCACTTATTCTAACCCTAGTATAAACTGGAAGTTAAATGGTGTGAAACAGAAAAGAGTAAGAAACTTAAATAGCAACAATATCTTTATTCTCCACATTGTAGCTGGATATTTCATTACTATATTGTTTGATTATTATGGGAAACAAGCCAAAATGCTGACAATTTTATTTACATTCTTTGACTTGTAGAATTTTGTTGTGGTGTGAGTTTTCTTCAAACTCAACTATTTGCAATATCTACTGCTGTAACAATATATGGGTTATTCTAAAAAATATTCTTATTTTTCGATACATGGGAAAGTTAATATAAACTTGATTGGCTTTTGGACTATTGAGTTAGCATGCCAAGTTTAGTCTGGATCAGTCACCTCGTTTAAGAGGATATTCATCCACAAACAGACAACGTTTTCCTTGATACTGGATATTTACCACACTGGCATAGCTTATGCATAGCACATATGTGAAGAATGCTTTTATACTTACTTGGATAAAAGTCAAACCCTTTCTCTGGTTAGGAGATCAGAATTATAAACATTATTCCATGTGAGGCATAGATAGTAATTTGTATAAAGAGATGATTACCTCTTTTGACTCCTTACCAATACATCTGTAAACATATCCTAGCTTTACAATTGCCAACAAAGCACTAACTCAACAGTTTGAGTGATCAACTTACAAATATCTACCATTATGCAACAAATCTTTTTTTCAATCAACCTGCTGTGTTGGTTCCTATCTACATTAAATGTGTGATCAAATTATAATAACCCAAGTACATCTACTTGCACTTTCTAAAACTACAGGTCATTTCTATCCGTCCAACTTACCAATTGATTCAATCATACTGTATTACTTCAACATTCTTAATATAGCTAAAAATACTCAATAGCTAGGTGATGTAAGCAAACTTTACTAATTCATTATTTATGCCCCTATCAATATTGTTACGACAGCGGAAGTCACGTGATGCTAGGAGCATGAGTGACTGAGTTTCTCGAGTTATCAGGGAAGTTCGAATGTGATCAAGAAACACCTCTTTGTTAGTATATAAGCCTGGCAGAGAAAAGCCGGGGGATGGATGGTTAAGCGAACAGTAGTCACGGTGAATTTCGAGTAATATATAAAGTGTGTGTTTTGTACTCATCAAGAGTGGAGTTATCGAGATTGTGAATCGCTGTGATTTATAGCGTGTATTATAAAAGTTGTTAAGTTTAAGGTGACGAGAAACATACTGACTGTGGAATTACTGTGTACTAAAAGTTTGTATTGAGGAAGAATAAACCGGTTTAATCAAGAAAGGACTTGTATCGCTGAAGTTCCTCGGAAAGAATTTATACCGGAAATTAACAAACAAGCAGATACATAACAATATCTTTGAGGTACACCACTAGTAACAAAGGTCCAGTTTACAGAACTTCATTAATAATAACTTTTTGCTTTCTCTCATCCAGCCACCCTAAAAACAAATATAGTAACTAGTTTTTCTCCAACCCACCACCATAGTGACTTGTTTTGCTAGTCTTTGTGCAACACCTTATCAAAAGCTTTTTGAAAATCTAAGTACACCAAGTTCACATCTCTTTTCATCATCCAGATAACAAGAAACACTCTAAAAAAGTAAACAGATCTGTAAGACAAGATTTTCTTTTACTAAATCTATTTTAATGCCCTTTTAGGACATCTATTTCAGTAAATTGTTACCCAAAGCTTCTTTTAACAAACTGTCTAGAATTTTTATAACTACAGAAGTATGACTAACTGACCTATAAATTCCAAAGCAACTCATTCCATCTCATTTACATATATAAGTAACTTTAACAAATCTGTGATCCTAAAGTAGTTGCCCAATGTCTATTAACCTACCACAAATGAAAGTGATAGGGTTGTATACCTGATCTTTAACTACCCAATGTCTATTAACCTACCACAAATGAAAGTGATAGGGTTGTATACCTGATCTTTAACTTCCTATAAAGCTCTGGGATACACATTGCTTTATCAATTTTTAATCTCTCAATTTTATTACTTACCACCAAGACATTAATATGTTCATGATTCGAGTGAATTCCTCAGAGACTCTCACAGTTAGTAATATTGCTAACATCCTCTCTTGTAAAAACAGAAGAGAAAAAACTTAATATATTATTCACCTAATAGTCTTCAACAAAATATTTGTCTTCAGCAACCTTTAAGGGCCGAAACTCCATTTTACTTAGCTCTAACATACTCAAAAAAATTCCTCTGTTAGCATTAACATTTTTAACCAGCTGTTTCTCATAGGTCATTTTTTATTCCTTTTTTAATCAAATCCTGTAATTCTGCAAACCTCTCCCTCACTCTATTCAATCTTAATCAGTGTATCTAAAATTTGTCTCCACTGATTATTGCATTAGTATTCTCATTAGTAACCCTGATTTCATTATACAATTTCTTGTTGACATTAACTCTCTAATCGGGCAGTATATAATACTTGCTATACCTTTCTAACCTTACAATTCCCAATAACAATCCATCTGTATATTACTTTGAAATTTAAATGTACTGTTATGAATTCAACTTAGAGTGGATTGATAACTTTACCAATACAGTATATCTCTATTACACATGGCTAGTGGGGATTTTACTCATACCAGTAGGTAAAAACTAAACCTATGCATCTCATGTTTGGGTCACTCATTATTCCAAAGTTGTTTCCATAGCTCACCTACAAGGCTAGACTTCTATCTTTTCATGTGTTATCCTTTCAATTTTTATTATACTTAAATACATCTAACACTCTTTCAAACTATTAATAAACTTACCATTAAGTCTGTCTAAGAAAAATGGGCTAATAACTTTTTTCACAAAGTTCAATGGATAACGCTGTAAATAAATGCAAGACATCAGAATCTCTATTATACTTTGAGGTTTGAAATCAGCAAATCTCTCCAAAAGCACATTCTCCAAATTTTCAAAAAATTCAAAAGCATAAGGTGGTTGATGATTAAGAAGTCCAAACAGATTTACAATACTTTCTATGTTCTCTGGAGGCATCTTTTTACCATGTTTGATAAAAACAGCTGCCAAACATTCCAAAACTTTTGTATTCCTCCACCTGAAAAGTGCACAATACTCAGAAACTACTCTTACAATTCCAGTGTTCTGACACTTCAATCCTTTAGTCTTCATGTATCGTTCAAGAGCATTATCAAGACCACTATCACGAAACTTCATTCTGTTCATAAATCTAATGATATCTTTGAATTCTTTTTCACTTAATGTATGCAGATTAAGATTTGTCCACTTTGTTAACACAGACAGCAGCTTATAAGGTCTCTGTCGTAAATTTGATACAATCTGTAAAATAAGAGCTACCTGAGTTCCGGTTAGTTTTAAAGAGCATAACTCTACCTGTTTTGTCAAAGTTCTTAGAATGATTACCTGAGATGTTTTAAAACATGGCAAGATTCCAAATACTGTTAAAATGTTCTTTTCATTAATGTACTTAGCAGAGTCAACTATACTAGACCACAGTTTGTCAACTGTAGCCTGATGATCACCACCTGCCCTATGTAACAGATTTACCAGTTCACAGATTTGTAGAATATTCAGTTTGCCATCACTAACTTGATAAAGACAATCCTGTACAAAACACTCTATGTACCTTTTTCTTTCTTCATCAGCCATCCTTCCCCTGAGTACACAGCCTAAACCTGCCAATATAGCACTAATGTCTTCAGAACCACATACAAGTTCACACAGCCTATAAATAATAACAGAATGAACAGAGTTTTCCACAGAAAACTCTTTGAGAGATATTTTATCTAATCCCACACCCTGCAAGTCAATCAGTCGTTCTAGAACAGCTAATGCTACAACTGAAGACACTTCTTTCAAAGGCAGATTTTGAAGGTATGCCATCAACTGCTTCATGCATAAGCAAGCTTCTAAATTTGTTCGTATTTTCATAAAATCACTCTCACTTTGTTCTATTTTCTTATGCTCAACTCTTTCTTTATTCTTAGAAAGATAAGAATAAAGGTCTGTATCAATTCTGTCTTTCTTTAGATTTTTATTTTCCAGCACAGAACTGTTTTCAGACCTATCAGGTGTGCATCCAATTACAGCTAGCACATCACTTGTCTTTTTCACAATCACAGGAAGCTCCTGAATATCAAGGCCATCCTGAACTAATATTGTTGAACTTCCTAGACTATTCCTGTCTTTGGTAAAAGTGGATTTAAACCTGTAATATAACCTGTCATTGAGAGTATTTAGTCCAGTGAAGCTTCCTTTCGACTTCCAATACTTACAGTTCTGTTCCTTTATCAAGGAAACAATTACTTTAGATGCAGGGCCAGATATAATTTTGTAATGCCATGTTCTAGTCAATAAGTGCATGGATGTCGACTGAGCAATTTCATATTTGCATCGACAGGAAATAAATGGACAAGACATCGCCACAAAACTTGTGTGCAATTTCCAAGATTTGGAAAATCTACTTAACACAACTGTGCAAATCATCTTGATTTTAGTTCACCTTCCTTGTAAGGTTTAATATAACTTGTCAGATGAAATCTGAAAATAAAAAATAAGTAATGTAAAACAGTCATGAAGTCATTAGAAGTGCTACTACTACTATGATTCTGGTGTAAATAAATGGATTTAGTCTAAATACTTCAAATTACAAATTGCACTACAATACTCAACGTCACTGTAAATACATGAATATAGCTGTATTGCAATAGTGTAAGTTAACTGTATCTAGTCTAGGCTTATGAATTTCTGCATTTCACAAAAACGGAAAAAACAAAATTTACAACATGCAATAAATTTCAAATTCAATTATAACTTATACTAAAGTTATAGTTATGATATAAGCAAAATTCCAATTTTCATTTGCTGTAACCCTAAACTGATTTAAAAAGTAGGTAGGTAGGTAATTTTCTAATTTTTTGAAATTGCCTATCAAAAAAAATTTCAGAAATACCACTAGTTCCATGATCACCTAAAACATAACATGTTAAAGTATGAATACAATCACTATCAACATTTATTATATGAAAAGAATTACAGAAATTTCAAATTTTTTTGCAACACACACTCGCTGGTCAATATCGACCTTGATCGAAGAAGTCGAATTGACTGTTACCAACAATTTTATAGTTTGTTCTTCTTTTCATCTTGTTCATCAAGTAAATCTACAAGTACTTCCTTCCACATGGATAAGTTTCCAACTGGAATTAATTTATTTTTGATCCTAATCCTCAATCCACGAGAACATTTTTCAGAGACTTGTGTTCACCATGTTGTTGATGTTTGTTCGTCCACAGTAAATTCTCCACTGCTAAGTCATGTATTTATTAGATTAACATGAAGGGTCCTGGGGATAACATAATCCATGTTGTCATAACTTAAATGGATTGGCCAATCAGCATTAAGCTGTTAATTAGTAATCAGACTACACGAATTTTCAAGAAAAAATATTCTAACCACAATTCGACAATAAAAATTTTAAATTGGCATATTTTTTAGATGAGTCAATATATCGGCAGAAATTGGTGATTTCATATAGTCAGTTGGGTTACAGCAAACAGAAATAATTTTAAGCCTGTTCCAAGGTTAAAGTTTGTCTGTCACCTATTTAATTAGTAATAGTTAATGGGAGGATGATAATAAATAAACTTTCAATTAATTTTAATGAAATAAATTCAGACAAAAAAATACACATCACTCTGAAATAAAAAATATAATATTGTTATTGAACAAACTAGCTACATGAAATATCTGGAAGTCGTTACTGATAATAAATTAAATTGAAAGCAACATATAAGAATGATGTACAATAAATTTCAAAAACTAATGTATCATATGAAAATTGAAGTATTATGTAAAATCTGAAATTAAATTTTACAATAGTTTATAGTGCACTTATATATACTTATATTAATGGTAAAATCAAGCTGGGTGTCAGCTAGTGTTACAAACCTACATCCAGTCAATACGTTCATAATAAATTTATAAAATATATGAATTCTGGGTCAAGGATAAACTATATCGCCTATATTGAAACTATCTGGTTTCAAATATTCTGAAAATCAGCAGTTTGTAAATTATAATTAGCAAATTTTATGCAAAAAATTAAGAATAAAATGTTTCCTCTAATTTTCTAAAATTATTTTATCAAAGTAAGTGATGTTCATTATAATATTACCAGGCTAGCTACTTCCAATGACTTCTAATATACTGTGATGTCTTACTTCTTTAGGTAAAAGGTCAGTTAAATTTAGAGGAGTTAAATTATGGTCTAAGATACCCATAAATTTAAAAGCCTTTATTTTTTATAACTTAGATAGCCTAACAGGATCTTACTTCTTAAATCATGGATGAAAATATTGTGAACAGTAATAGTACTCAACTGCCAAAACAATGCATTCTAAACTTTATAAGTACAAACATGATACAAGTATTAATGCTTAGAGATGGTTTGAATGGGTAATGAAGAAAAACTTTAATATAAGTTTAACATAACAGCAAATGTACAACTTTTCAACGATGTTTTGTACCTGATGATGACA